AAAAGTACAGCGTGGGATTATCTTTCCTGGAATGGGTTCAGGAAAAATAGCTGTCCTTCAATTAAAATACACCTGAGATCTTGATATGAAAGGCTACAGGTCGCTTGTTACTGTTTTCAATATACTGAGTCAGAATTTCCAAGGGTAGAAGCCTACAGGAAGAGTTCAAAGGTAGAATGTTTGTGCAGGAATTGAACACAGCCAGCTTCTCTGCTTATTAAAATCTTGCAGGAGTGAAAAGCAGACATCTCTGGAAGAGGAAAACCAACTTTTGTTTCAGAGAGCTGATAGTTTTACTACCTCTTTCGCTGCCAGGATAAGGTCCTCAGCTGGCATAAATAGCAAAGCTCTGTTGAAGTGCGTGGAGCTATGCCAGGTAACACCCGCCTGAGATCAGGCCATCAGACGTGTAGTCAGGATGCCTTCCTGCTGTCAAACTCCAGAGCAGCTCCTCACAGAAAGCAGCTCTTGAAGCCATAGCCTGGTGGGTGACAAAGTGTCTACCAAGTCTATTACTCTAAGTTGCTCTCTTTGCTTCAAAGAAATGATGAGCAAGTCACTATCTTTTATCATTTCTCTCTCTCTTGCCTTCTCTTTGTGGTTTTTTTTCCTTAAACTAAAGCATATTAATTTTGAGCTATAAAGCCTTCTAAAAGCCTGCAGAAATTAGTGAGCTAAAACTGGCAATATGCAATAATGCATGTCAAATAAAAATATAATCAGCATTTTTCCCAGAATTGCTAACACCTTAGAACTTTGCAGTAAACCAAATATTTTTAAAGCAGTGTAACAAATGTACACTCTAAATTTGCCAGCAGTAGGTGGATTGCAGATGCAGTAAATCTGTTTTTGTTTTACCATCCAGGGAATTAATCCTGTATTTCAACAAAATCCCAGTAAGCTGGCTGTGTATCACTGTATACTCCAAGCAGTGTGAAGATAACTTGTGAAATTTAAGAATCCTTTATCGTTCAGTATTGTCTCTTTCTGTCCCTTCTTAATTCAGCTAACAAAAAGATGTAGAGTTCTTAATAAGGTCATGCTCAACCTTAGCTGAAAACTTGGGAGCATTAGTGGACTTAGTTTTAATTAGCTAAGGGTCGTTTTCCCTGTCTAGGCTGTTTTCTCCGAACATATGCTGTGTTGTGGTTCACATATTTTATGGAATATAACTATCTGGATATCCTGCGTGCTGTGCTATAAGCTATTTGCATGGACTGTAAATCCTCAAGAATTTTGCAAACTAAGAATTTGTGAACAGATATATTTAGTGTCTAAGGACTGATCCTCTAATTAGTGCTGTACAGGTAAATTCTTACACTCAAATAGATGCAGTTATATCATTTTAGCTCTAGGGTCTGCCTCTGCAGATTTTCACCCAATAAATAATAAAGGATGTAAGATCACAGCCTCGAGAATCAAAGAAAATAGTTTTTAAATGCAGTGTCTTTGGTTAAACATACCACAGTGAATTTGGACTAGGATCTGATTCTAAGCTGAATTCATCACTCTTACACTGATTTAATCTTCAGTGTGGGGGGAAAATTGCGCTAATGGGACCAAAATAAACATTTTGCTCAGATCTGCCTTGTTATCTGACATTGGAGGGTCCCATAAAGGAACAAAAAAGAGTGTTGAAATACAGTTACAAACTTTAAGGGTTTTATTGCTCTTATCGGACAGCATATAAGATGACTGTGTATAAGATGCATGTGGTCTTTGACCACAAAACTTAACGTGAGAAAGGAAAGTGTTGACACTTGGTAAAGAAATAGGTTCCTCCCAGCCACCCACCCACAAACACAGTGTGTGTAGCAATCGTCTCCTAATGTGCTTTTTTTCCCTCCAGATATATGTGAGTGCTCTGATCTTTTATTTAGCTCTTTAATGCATCCCTGCAAATGAAATTACTATTCTGGGATGTTGCTAAAACATTAAAGTGGCTCTTTTGCACCAGCACTGGCTGGTTTGAAATGAATTCCTTAGGCAGTCTCGAAAGGGGATCCGTCCCATCGCAAACTGGTTGAGGATATAGATTTAGCAAGGGAAGATTGGAAAAGGAAGAGGTGTTTGACTTTTGGGAGGATTGCCTGAAACTCTTTTCAGCTCTAATGTTTCCTTTGCTGCATTCCCCCTCTTGCTTTGGAGTCTAAATTTCCGATACCTAAAATAAGTAGAGACAAACTGATCAACTCTGGGCCATGCGCGTACGGTTTGATAAATACCGAACAGCCTGGAATCTTGCATGGCTGACACTTTGTTTCCAGCTTTGTGGTAAACAGCTGAATAGAAAGGAGAAGGCAGCAAGTCTTAAACTGCACTCGCCAAGAACATCTGCATTTATGAAAACTTTCCCTAATTGAAAATCTAGTAGTTTCAAGTGCTGTAGACTGAGAATCTGGAAACTAGCTCAGGGGCTGCTAAGATAGCAAGAAGCAGCAGTGGTTTTGAGCCCTCAGTTCAGGTTACTCCCCCGCCGCCTCCTTGTAATGTGGGCATTCAGGAGGTGATAATAACATCCTTACAAATTCTAACAAGGGGAAAAGTCTCTCTTTAGACTTCAGACGCATTATTCTGCGGTTCTCCTCTAACTCCCTTTCCTTGCCATTTCCCCTGCCCCCATTTCTCCTCCTCAATATTTCCTCCTGGTTCTTTGAGACCTACTACACCAAAAATATTTTTGGAAATACCACAGACTATTGTTTTTATTAGTGACTGGAAAGCTTTGTAGTAGGATGCTTTTGTGTTTCATTTGTTTTCCTTGCTCTGGCACAGATGTTTTTGTTTTAGCAGCATTAGAGAGATGGTTAAACTATTTGTGGCCTTTTCTAACCCAAGCAGATCTCTTCCACTGAATGCTTTAAACTGAATGACTGAAACTGTAACTAACAGGTTGTCTGCGTGGGCAGTTTTGTGCATGAAGTTACAAATGCACTGGTTTTATGAGATCTTTTAATTTGTTCAGCAAAACACTGATCACTGTGAAGCAAGTTCCAGTTTCCCTATAAATTTCCCAGCCAGAACACTGACAGAACCTTGACTCGGGAAGATACAGAACAGATGAAGCAGTAGATCTTGTTCAAACCTACGCGCACTCAGAAATGATTAATGGAAAAGAGGTTCATGGAGGTGTGGTGATCCCCACCTTAGCCAAGAGGGAATAAGAAGAAAAGCCACAGCAGGCAGTGGGGCAGAATGTGGTCTGAGGACAAATCTGCTGAAGGTGGTATGTAGCAGCTACAACTGCCTAACTGGCCACTGCGGTTACAAGGAAGAAGATGGGAAATTAGGAAATAGGTATCCAGTCAGAGAAGGGTGGTAGTAGAAAGTAGTAAACGAAAAATGAAGTGGACAAAAAGTAAAGTAAAATGAAAAAATAAATGGAGAATGAAAACGTAATACATCTGTGTGAAGGCACCTTGAAAGCAAAGGGGAAAAAGAGGAAATGAGTTCTACTAGAGGCTTCAGTGTTCATGTCTGGTGACACAACAGAAGTGATACTGAAAGTATGGGCTGACGAACAGCAGGAAAATGAAAGTTAAGAGTGTAGCTGATGTGTGTCCCGCTAAATCCCAGTCTTACCACATGTTCCCACCACTTCTGCAGGCACAAGCAGCTGCACAGCGATTAGGTTTAGAGAATCGATCTGTTTGACATTGGTTTGGCAGTTTTCCTTCTGGCAAGGTCAGGCAGATGACAGACCTGGCTTGATTCATCACGTGGTTGTACGAACCTAGGACTGGTACTGGGGAGGAGGTGGGAAAGAGCAGCGTGTGGATGCGGGGTAGGTGGCACCATCCCTGTCAGCACCTTACAGCCTTGGAAGAGCAGCCCATATGTCAGCTGACTCATGAAATATAATGCAGGTGGAGTGGGGAAAGGACATACTATGTATCCTACCTTCAGTAATGTTGAGTGTGATTCTTCCCTTCTGTATGCAATGGGTGGGGAAGCAACTGCACTTGTCAGAAACCACCTCCTTAGTGACACTGGAAAAGAAAAGACTGAGCTGACTTTTCAAGCACATTTTTTTCTCTGCTGTTTTTTGTCTTTTTACTTCATTAAAAATAATTGTTTTCAACTCTCCTGTCAGTTTTGCTAGGGGACACATCAGTGGACTCATGACTGAATGAGGCCAGGGAAAATGCAGAGAACAAAACTTGTGTCTGAAAGTCTTGAATGACTAAAGTCTGTTGTCAGATGATGATATTGAGGTAATAATAGCAAGTAAGATGACAGAGAAACTGAGCAGAACTCAGCAAGGGATTTCATATGTAGATGCATATTAGAGTAACTGGAGTTATGCTGAATATTGGTAATAACTGCAGAACATCAGACCTTGTGTAATAAAGTTCATCGCATGCTTTTCCTCTGTCTAAAAAATTGCAACAAAAGCATCTGTTTGAGCTGACACAAAATGCAATATTTTCTATTTTAAGCTTTGTTACGGTCACAGAATAAAAGGGGAAAAAAACCAACCAAACGTATGCACAGAACTAGCTAAGATATAAGAGGACCCCTATGAAATATTGTTAATGAGAAAAGATATGCATACACTGACATCTGTATCAACATCTGTAGAATTGGTTGTTTCCTTCTATAGTGAATTGCATTGAGAAAGAACGTACTGTGTTTACATGTCCTGTACCCACAGAGGCATATAACTACTTCTCTAGGAGTGTGTGTCATTCAGTAGGCTTTATTCAGTGCAATACAGTAAAGGGAATTGTTCACTTATCTATTCTGTGCCCAGAACACATAGTTTCTGCCAGTGGAAAGACACCTCACAAGTCCAGGAAATCAGTCGTCTGTCCTATAATGCCATAATAATCAACGTAGTTGCATTTAGCTCATTCCATGTTTTTCCTCTGAATCAAATAGCAACATATACATTTCAGACAAACTTTTTTGAACTGTTACCCACAGCCATGTTTCTTGCCAGTTACTAGACTCCGGTTATGATCTTTGCACTGAGTGTTCTCCTGGCTGACTCATTTCAGGGCTCCAAAGAGTGCGCCAGCTGGGGAAAAACACAAGATACTTCAGACGAAGACTGCATGAAATGGGCTTCATCATTTATGGCAATGATGATTCTCCTGTTGTCCCCTTACTCCTTTTTATGCCTGGTAAGATAGGGTAAGTACTAAAAAAAAAACCTGTTGGCAAAACAAAACCTATTCAAGTTCATAGGTTATTTGGTATACCCTGTGAAAAACGTAGTTATGTATGGTAGATGCTTCACAAGAGAAACATCCGCTGTTAGGTGAATTCATCATTTAGTTATGGTCTATTTTAAAGTTGGCCCTAGAATTAATTTTCAGCTGTTCCAGTATTCAGCATTTTTTAAATTTCTCTTATCCTTTTTTAACTTGGTCTGGAATAATACTTTTAATAGCATTTTGAATTTGGATTTTTTTACTTTTAATTTGTAATTATTAAAAGAGATATATTGCCTGTGATGTATGAATTGTTTTGGATGGATATTCTTTTTCCCCATCTGATCTTTGAACGGTGTTTACATGTCTTACTATTCAGCACCTATCAAGCAGCACTTGTGCACTGACTGACCTGGACATGCAGAAGGCCAGAAGCCAGTAGTAGCATCACATAAGGGTTGAGCTGTAGGGAGTATTTACAAGTAGCTTAGGGTGACTACGTGCTCTAGGTCTAGTACATACCACACAAAAAGTTCCTAAACTGGCAGAGTAATTGCGAGAGCAAAGAAACCATCACACAGGTTGTTTTATTCCTGTTGATGTGCAGGAACCCAGCTTTCATACCCTCCAGAAGCCCAACTTCTTCCATGCAGAGGGACTGTGAATGCCCACACATTTTGATTTGCACTCAAAGCCTTTCATTGACATAAATGAATCATTCTAGAGCACTCTCTCTGCCATCACGCTTCTAGTATTTGACACTCACTTGGCTTCATGAGCTGTTAAGCAGCAAAGAATCTCAGTCCTACTGGTAACATTCTGGCTTTTATTGAATTCAATGGGAATATTACCATCCACTTCAATTGAAGACAGGGTTTTACCCATTGCTTTATTATACTTGAATGTTTTCTCTCTGTGGTCAGTTTATTGAGGATAATTTACTTTTGGTTTTTTTCTTCTTCTTCTCTCCTTAGGGCTTTTGCAAGACGCATGTTAAAAAAAAATATCGGGGTGGTTGTGGTTGGGTTTCCAGCTACTCCTATCGCAGAATCCAGAGCTCGGTTTTGTGTGTCAGCTGCACATACACGGGAGATGTTAGACACGGTAAG